GGAGAACCCTCTGCCTAAATTCACTACGTTCAATTACCCACCACAGACTCCGGTCAGTTAAAATGACTATTTTGAACTGTAGGCGACGCCCATAGGTGGCAGGTTTTCCGAGAAAACAAAAAATTATGACATTTTTTTTCCCAGTCCGGGATGATACATTCTACAACTACCACTCATCACCTAGCTAAGACCCCAAAAGAGGGTGGTGTCTTACCTTGCCTGTGCTGTCCCCGGAGCAAAAAGTCAAAAAATGCTACTATGGTGACAGGGTTCGGTGTGCCTGAAAAAGCTAGACCCAAACCCAATTCAGGGGGTAGTATGCTTTCGCAGTAAAGACCAAAAAAGTTCTGCATGAGGACATAGGCCGAAAGACGAGACCTGGAAACTTCCAAGGAGTGCTGACGGTAGAGAAATCTGTTCGCAAAGATGCTGAGACTGACTTATAGCCTAGGTGCAGGGACCCTTGTGGTCGTTCGGGCTGGGTCAGCAACCAGAGTCTGACTCGCTAAGACAGCAACCAAAGAGGCCCTCCTCAATGGATTGGGAGTCTCTTAGGTAGTAGTTGATAAAGACGATTTGCATTCTCCAGAAGCCTGCCCTCAGTATATGCTAGCGCTAGTGAGTTAGCAATCGCACGGACCTCATGCGTTCTTACTTGGTGTCTCTGCAAGCTCTGTGTCGAGGAAGTTAAAGTGTTATAGACCTCTAATACAGTTGCAGTAGTCTACCTGGCAATGGAAGTCGGGAAGGCCGGCCTATCCTGCCTGCCTGGGCCGTAACACAAAAACATGTGCTTGGCATCCCGATCTCGAATCCCTAGTACTGTTTTCGTAGCAACTCAGTGCTCGAACCGGGCAGAGAAGCAATTCCTCCTGATCTTCCGGGCTGACAATATTTGACAGCCGGGGGATGATGATCGACTGAGGATCGTGTCCTGGGATTTGGTTCTTGGCGAGAAACCTGATTCGTGTCTTTAGCACAACTTGATCGTCCATAACGGCGGCACACTTGTCCAAGAAGGACAATGCCCCCAGTTCTGACTGACGCCTACATTTGAGTAGAAGCCTGGACTTAATGCTGGCTGATCTACCTTGTGTGTGGCGCCCTTTTCCAGCAAACTGCCTACTTCCTGTCTGATTGCTTCCGCCTTGCAGGAGTCCCCTGGCAGGGCCCCCAATGGGGAGACACTGACGGGGGAGATTTCAGCGGTATCCTGTAACAGTGTTTCACCACCTCGAAAGTCAAGGGAATGTCAATTGCTGCCTCCAAACCGGACTACATAGGCGCAATCTGTATCTGACACGAGCAAACTGTCTCCTTTAAACTTAAATATGTGAGCGAGAGCGTGTTCGACTGTGCGTCTCATGACAGGGTCAGTGCCCTCTGAGGACGCCGGTGGGTTGGTAAGAAGGAAGTCAAAGCCCACAGCGGAGCCCGGACTCAAGGGTGAATTCCTGAGTCCGCTACCGCGCGACGAGCCCTGGCTGGCTGAAAGTAGAGAGGAGGTGCAATGTGTGCCCTGACCCAAATACCCTGTCCCAAAATCGGAGGCTTGGCTGCCAGCATCCCCATTGACATTCAGTGCCCGAAGTCCCAATAGAGACCCGGTCCAACTAGCCTGAGCCTCGGCCTCACTCAAATCAGCGAGAGAGTCACGGCTGGGAACAGGGGGTTCCCCGGAAGAGACATGTTTTGAATGCGAGCGATGCTTTTGTGTTTTTTCCTGCTCGCCGACCGAGGGGTCGCAGTGGAGACAGCTCGCTTTAACTGCATCTGATTTGCCCTGACAGTCCTTCGACCAAAGCCCTCATCTCGGAGGCAAACCCGGCGCCGTGCGAGGAAGGATCCACAAAGGGACCCGCAACAGGCCTCATAGGAGAAAAGACTTCCAGGGGCACAGCCTTGATGTAGCCGGTAAAATCGGGTAAACCACCGCCTGAAAACACAGACTGTGAGGGTGCCCTCCGATCAGCGGGGGTGAGGCCGTAAAATAACGATACCACCACCATCAGGCCTCCTACTCGAAGTCTCAGTACATGAAGTACCGGTAGCCGAGCATGAGGACTTTCCACTCATGCCAACACGCAACTCACTTTAACCAACTTTTACTGGACGCACGACCTTGCTGTGAAAATACGAGCGACGCGGCCAGTCTCCAGTGAAAACACACGCCTTCAAGGCAAAAACACTGCACACAGTCACGGGAAAAATAGCATTTCGGATGCGGGCTCTATGCTGGTAAATTCTGATAATAACCACTACACAGTGAGACAAACAAGGAGACAAAACCGGTGGCGAGCCCCTGGTGCTGTCATTACATCTATCTATTTCTGAATACATTGATAAAACATAAAAATGAACACGACATGCATGAGGGAAGCGAAATACAGTTGGAAAAGGTGACGCAAAGAAACCAACGACGTGGTTAAATTGTGTCGCCAGGTTTTATTTTCTTTGTTGTGAACAATTATACACACAAAGGGGGAAATCGACACGGGGGTAAAAATAATAAGGAAAACTTATCCTACCAGCCACAGTGTCGGCTACCGCTGGACACGGACAGGAAAAGGCAGGCTTTCCAGGCAGAGCTGCTAGATTTCATCCCGACGGTGCAGAGATAAAGAAAGAGTGAATGTCAGGGTATGATGGCGCTGCCACATTACCTTGGTCACATGGTTTGTGACGTAAGAGAAAACAATCTTGGGGTCATGGGGCTTCCCCTGACCTAGATTCTATCTAGATTCTATCTCTCCGTCACCAGCAGAATGGCTGATTAATGCCTACAGTTCAAAATAGTTATTTTGACTGACCGGAGTCTATGGTGGGTAATTGAACATAGTGAATTGATATACAAACCCACCTGCAGATGATGAATCTCCTCGCGTGGTGCCAGACTTCTTCAATTCTTTATCTTTGTCTCGCCTTTTTTCTGTGGAATGAGTAATAAGCATGAAAGGGGTTTGGCAATACAGCTCGGATCAGATAGCATGAATAGATATAGATATACTAAGATAGTATGAATCATGTGTACCATACCTTGGTTATGTTTAGGTTCTACACTGTAACTAAGATAGTATGAATCATGTGTACCATACCTTGGTTATGTTTAGGTTCTACACTGTGACTAAGATAGTAGGAATCATGTGTACCATACCTTGGTTATGTTTAGGTTCTACACTGTGACTAAGATAGTAGGAATCATGTGTACCATACCTTGGTTATGTTTAGGTTCTACACTGTGACTAAGATAGTATGAATCAACTTCTGTTGTTATTGAGGTTGCTGTGGCAACAGTTGGTTCTTTAATTTTGTCTCTCTTTGTACTTTTACCTATGAGAAACAAAAACATTACTCTAGGATAATGTAACCGTATAATCATGAGAAATGAAAATGTTTATTAATTCAATAGTTGTGTACCAAAAATACATATTCTTATGTCCAAGTATTGTACCAACCCTGCCCTGAAATGCATACCAGATAATGTCATAGTTCAACTGTCATGTGTTCACATGGGCATCACTGATTTCTATATAACAGTAAGTAGTGCAGTACTGACTGTAAACTTACTTCTACTTGATGGCCTTAAATCTTTATTTTCTTTCTTAGCAATTTCTGGTTTTTTTCCATCACCAGACGGACAAACAGTGTTTTTTGTAGAACAGCTTTTATCTGGATTTCTGATTTGTGAATCTTCATTAAGTAATGTTATGGATTTATCTAGTGAATCACTGATACCATTGCTGTCTTCGTAATGGGAAGATCTGGACGGAGATATTAATGACATTGCTAATGCTTCATCTCTTGGCATACCATGTCTGAAAATAAATAAACCATTGTCAGGTTGACACTCTCTTCACCCAATCCAGTTAAATGGTTTTGAACAACTGGTTCTCGCCACACACAAAAAATATATGAAGAAAAAAAATGAAAGATTTTTATAATTTTGAAAAATACTGGATGAAATGGATTTAGACACAATTTAGAACTAGTAATCAGAATTTAGCAATAGAAAAAAAAAGACATACACAACCCAAAATACCTACTGAAAATCAAATTTGTCGACAATGTACACAGAATGAAATATTGGTAGACACATTTCAATCAAAAAATGAAAATGCCATCTGATATGTGACACTTGCTTTATCCCATTACCAACTTTTTTTTGTTTTATAGTCGCAGTTATCACAACTAGTCTTTATGTTCCTTACCTCAAATGTAATTTATTAATAATATGAAGTAGGGACAGGTTTAAATCCACATTAAACTGAACCGAATTATTTATTGCGGATTTAATTTGATTCAATTCATACTTGATGTTCAGTAAAAGAAAGTTGATATTGAGGATCTAAAAACTATTTACTTACTGTTCAAAGTTTCTTTTCACAGTAGGCAGGATAACTTGTCTGGTTGGTGGCCTAGAATTGTCATCTATACTACCAGCACTACTGCATCGTTGGATTTCTCCAGATGGTGATCGCATATCTTCATAAAATCTATTACTCAGAGAAGCTATAACACATCCCGCATTGCCAGCCTTTTCCGTCCTAGCTGAGTCAATACTACTTGATCGGCTAATGGGAGTCTTTCTCCCTTGTTTCTTGCCATTCTGTTTGTTGGCTTCCTCTATAAATTACAAAAAAAGAGCAACTTACAACAAATTACAATTGATGTTTTCATGATCTCACAATGTATGTTGATAACCAAATTATGAATGAGAGATATCTCTCTTTGTCATAATGCTGTATCTGTCAAACATTCCGAGGTGTGATGTTAAATAATGCAATAAAAAATAACATACATATGTTAATGCAATTAGTCACCAGTGTGTTTACTTTGCATTTATATTATAATGATTTAATTAAAAGTTTAGTGCACAGCAAGTGAATGCATTGATTCACAACTATGACTGGTATGGATTGGAGGATGCACAAAACCTCTGCACATCAAGACAGACATACATCTACGGTATAACAGTTGAATGACAGCAATTTAAAAACCTATGCAATGTGGCCTGTGTGACTAAGTGCCAACACACTAATACAGGTCAAAGTCATTATTATCTTCACTGAATGTTTTCAATTGTATGCAAACTCTTGATGCAAAGCAATTTCTGCTATTATGTTTTCTCACACGATATGACCTGCAGCATTGTCTTTCGATAGGTCTGTTATCAACCAATCAGAGTGAAGTACAGAATCAACTCTCCAGGAAATTTTAAGTTACATTCATGTAACTACATTTACTGTAAAATCATTTATTTTCACTATGTTGAAGTTTTGAGCTATTTCACTTGGTATTAATTTCACTTGGCAGGGAAACAATGAGTTTTGTTGTCATTTCACATGTTAACGCAGATTTAATTTAGCAAATTTAACGTATCAACAAAAATAGCGAAATTAATATTATAAACCAGTGATGTATTTACAGAATTTGATGCTCATTGCAAATTTTGATAAACAGCTCCCTCTATAGTCCGGCATTTGCTTGCAGTGCATCTATATTTTTTAAGCTGTAATACATATATAGTTCTACACTAAACAATACAATGCCATGTATAAGCATATATTACACACTATATAAGATAGACACAATTAATACTTTTCTTGTAATCTGAAATTCTTATTCCTTATTCTTATAGTTATTTCTATCACAACCATGCATTTAAGGTAGCGAGACTATTATTTGTGTTGAAAATTACGATTTTCACATTTATTTATTAATTGATGAAATGCACCATAAACTTTCATATGATAAAGTCAATATAACATAGAATGTCATGTAAGTTGGTTAAAATATAGATTTTCTGAAGGGAAGCAAGGCAGCCTCAGTAGTGTTTTCCAAAATCAACAACACAGGTGCCTATAAGTTTCAAAGATAAACTCAAGACAAAGCAATGTTAGGATGTGTTATCAGTAGCTATCTGACACACAATGAGTGTTTCCAAACATTTGAGTGGTTTGTCTCCGCCCCTGTTTGTTTCACAGATTAGTCATTTGCATATGAATGTGTCAAACACAAGGTCACACAGCCACGGGGGG